CTCTCTTCGCGGTGCCTGTTGATTCTACACGAACCCCGAAGCCGAACTGCACATAGTCGGCTGTTAATAGGGAACCAGTCCAGTAGTGCCGCCTCGGCCCTGTCACTTAGTGCTATACCTACACCAGCCGGACCCGCTGAGGCTGCTTCTGAATCTCCAGAAAGACGCAGGTGATATCTGGCTTCGTGATCAGTGGGGATGTCAGTGTAAGCACAGTGCTGGGATCTTGCAATCGGGTTTCTGAAAGGCAGCAGACATCAATGTCTAGGGAATCTAGAGTGCGCGCTAGACCGGCTTGCTGTCCAATCTGCATGAGTGTCCGAACGTTGAAGCACGCCAGACGGAACGAGGATCGGGGACGAAGGAGAGCCATAGGTTGAACCTCTTGGTCTGCGGCGCAACCGGAATCGCAGCCAGATTGTTGAGCACATGAATCGGGTAACGGAAAGTGAGGATTGTTAACAAACAAACAATTGGCGTGTGATGAAGTCGCGTGAAAGTGACTAGCAGAAACAGCAGCTGATGAGCAAGTTGTAATACAGTCCATGGTTTTGCGAGAGGGCGTGATACTACCCGGTTGCCCAAGCCGAAGTAGGGAGTTGACTTAGGGGACTCCACCCCGAGCCTTTGGCTAAATAACCTACCCGCAAGGCAGCGGGGCGAATTTAGGGAATCGCGCCCATTGGGAGGCATTGACTGAATGTTCAGTTCATGCGTCTTTGTTTGGTAGATTACCAAACAGGGGCCCAATACTCCCCATATAGTCAGCACACCTGCTGGAATACAATGTCCCACCGAGGTGGAACATTGTCGCCGAACACTTTGCTGGAACGGGGTACACCCGAACCACCCAGCTGGCAACACGAGGAGGTAGTTCGGCAAGCCAGGGAAACGGCACGCAGGAAAACCAAATTTACGTCACCAGGACATAATCAAAGCGAGCCTATCACGTTCTAATCTTGATTGCGGGTTATGGGAATCGAAAGCGGTTGATAGGCATGCATAGCGCTATCTGATATTGAAGGCAGTTGTCGAGGTGCAAGAGAAAGCCATCACGCATGCAGAGAAAAAGCGGCAGTTGCGGAAGCGAAAGGCGCCGATAGGTTGTACTCCATCAGCGTTTGTAGGTACGATGCATTCGATATACTAACCGCGTGCTTACGTGCTGAGTTACTTTATTTCGGGTGGTAGGTTTGCTACCTTGACTTATGGTTATTTTGTTATCTAAATTTAATGTGTACCTGAATAATCTATTAAATGGCACATGACGCTTAAACTAAAGGTGGCTACGTTGCTTTATTTGTTCCTCTTTCATACATATGTGTCTTGATCCCTTTTTCTGCCATCCTGAATCTATCACGACTAGTTGGATAATCCATTTATTTCATATGCTAATATAGCCCCATATCCGTACGTTGTATTCGATCTAGTTTATTCGACATTCCATTTGCCGTGTTTGGCAGTTGCTGGACATCTCCGGTGTGGCTGCGCTTGATGCGCATGTTGATAAGGTGACTACCTGTCTATCACCCACTATCTCGTCCATACTGGCTCCAGGAGACAGTTGGTCGTTGCTGGAGGGAACGGGGTGCACGGCCTTTGTGGCCGTGTTACGCTCGAAGAGTGGTTCCATGCACTCAGTGTGGAGCGGACTACGGTCCAGCCACCGCCTTGTGTGCACTTGCTTCCCCAAATACACGGTGCTTGTGTTTGCCTATGAAGGAGTGTGGGCCGGCTCCGTTGATGAAACGTGGCTCTCATCCACATGCCTCCCGGTCTTATTCCTTCGCGTTTATACTAGATATGAGGTGTGTGCATGGAGCTGTGGGTGGTGCAGCGCAAGCCATCCGTGGTCCCTCTGTAGGCGCAGGCGTTCTGTGGTTGTCCCCGTGGAGGCCACAGTGACAAGCAAAATCCGAATACGGACGCCGCCAACCATATATATGGATGTCAAACAACAGCCAGTTACTTGAAAGGACATTAACAAATAAAGTATATCTGTTAAAGAATACTACTACGCAGACATGACTCTAACCCAAATTAGCATATGAAGTAAGTTGGTTAGCAACGAATCCGCGATAAGTACAAAATGTCCACAATTTACTTAAAAAATGCTACGAAGGCAATAAAGTTAACGAAGATAACCACAATTAGCGTAAGCAATGTGACCAGTTAATAGAAGATTATTCAGGTAGGCAGAACAAAGCAAATAAAGTGGAATGAAATTTATCCGGCTTAAGAAGACCTAGCGTAAGTTGGATTAGCCCAACTACGGTGAAGAAGCATCATGAAAGCAAAATAAGCCTCAGCATGGGGTTCTATCTATATAGTACAGATATTGTGACATCGGAATCATAGATGAATAGGAAAGCGGGATGAAGAATGACAAAATCATCACAATAAATCTTTTTTGTCCAGTTTGGCACTCACAGTTTTTGAATTTTTTAAGGTTGCTTTTTTCGGGGGAGGAAGGAGGGAGAGCGGTTGCATGTCGACGGCTGGTATCCCTCTACTAGTGGTGCACACGAAGGCGCAGTAGTCAAGTCGACTCTGTTGCTGATGTACATCAACGATCTACTTCAGCCTCTCTAGTTACTGCGTGTCCAGTTCGTGAACGAGCTGAAGAGATTAACGGATGATTCCGACAAATACGGTCTACTTCAATCGCCTCCCATTCAACTTAGACAAGTGGCATTCCTGAGTCTAGGGCAGGGTAGCGACGACCAATCGCTACGTTTTGCACCCTCTCTAAAGAATCTAGGCGTACTTCCACGTAGTGTTTTGTAGTCTGCGGACGAAGTTAAATTCTACCGAAACGGACTGCGCATACTTTATGTGCTCAAACGTAACTACTGTGAATGGTCTGAAGAGGTTGTCATTCGTTTCTTCTTCATCATCATAAGACCAAGGCCACATTGCGGCTCGTATGCTTACTGTCCAATCACCTGAGGCAAGACGCAGAAGATAAAACTGGACTAACAACTTCCTACAAGAGTTATCCCCAGTTTCCATGGTTTAATGTAGGAAGAGCTGTGGGAGTCTAAGTCATCACGGCTTACTGTACTCTACATCTCAGTGACTCCTCATGCTGAAAGCGCGGTTCCATCGGTGAACATCATGCAGGACACGCGGACACTGATACGTGTTTGTGTTGCATGATTTCAGGCGAGTTAGTAAATAACTGTGCCTCAAACGGTGAATAATCGATATTTGGAAATTTACCATAGCACATAGTGGAGGCAAAAGCGATGTAGCAGTTAAAGCATCTCTGGATGTACATTGCGCCATTATGAGATTTAGAGAGTGATTACTCATAAGCAATGATAGCCCCATTTGAGTCCTATAGTAATGTAAAACAAACAGATTTTCCTAGATTACAAGAAAACTAGAAAAATTACGACTAGATTATTGGCAGCTAGGAGATTTGTTTTGACGCTTTGGTCATGATCGATGGAGTTGGGCAGTCAAATTTTCACTTCCTCCCAAAATACGGCTTTCGATAGTTAATCGTGTCCGTCTAGCTCGCGAATTTGCCCGAGACCGAACACACCCATATTAGTCGAGCATGTTCTCCGACCGTCGAAATGCATATCTCCGCGACCACGATCAACAGTAGGTGCAACGGCTAGCCAGCTTCAAATGCATGGTCACCGGTATGTGAGCAAGAGTGGTGTTTTTCGTGATCGATAACCATGCGTGGAGCACCTGTTCTACGCAAAACGAGCTGACCTAATGGCCTATATTCTAAGGCCTTCCATAGCAAGGTTTCGAAGGAAGAAGTTGACCAAAGTATCCGCAACTGTTATCAGAATGGTGCACAGACTGACATCCAACACTGGCCTATTTGGAGTGAACGGCTGCGGAAGCAGGTAGAAGGAGCCACCAACAATGGTCCAGCAGTCACGAAAGTACACAGGAAAGCGAAAAAAAGACAAACAGTGTACAACCCGTAAACCTGCCTATAATTGAGCCAAATTCTTCGCTAACTATGATTAAAAGGATGTTTAAAATAGGTCAGTCCGATTTCTAAAGGGCATCAATAGAGTAAGAAGGAAGTTGCTAAACAGCACAGGTTAACGAACTATGGAAGTGCAGGTTCATTGCAATGGGCTGTGACAAATGAGTTGTGAAGTGGCAATCGTACAGAGAGCAGGTCATAGCCCGAAGGCCGTGAAGGCAACATGACGGGCGAACAGCCCCGACGCAGATCGAACCCCGAAGAGCAAGTTTCGTAAGGCCAAAGAGTAGATAGTGGGGAGTGAAAAATCAAGAATCATGGTCCAATTTTCCCAAATGACACGGTCAACCTTGTATCAAGTGAAATGCGTTAACCCAAATCGCACAAAGATGTACATAAATGTGGTGATCTTGTAACCGCCGACGCACCTCGTCGAACGATTACTTGTGCGGGGACAGATCAGACGAAAAAAAAGGTTCGTTGATTGAAAACAGCTTCAAACCTTCATCATGAACCCCGCTGATGAGTCTCCAGGCGTAATTGTGTGATTACTACACAGTGTTAGATATACTGTGTAACGTGAACTTTGCATTATTTTGTAGACTATTGTAAACGATCGTTTTAAATTTGTTTATTCACTACACTTAAGACGCTGCTAATGCAGCAGAATTTAAAACATCAGGATCAGGATCAGCTTTGTAGTTTGATGCATCTTGCGTTGTCGAGGCATACAATATACACATCCATACCAATAGTACTACACCAGTTGAATTGAGACTTCGCTGCGGTATAACCATAAGGAGCTATCGAACGAGGAATAGCGAAAGATGAGAGTGGCGAGACAGCGCAAGACCAAAATGACCCGAAACAAAACGTTCATAAAAGAGAAAACAACATATACGTCAAAGATTCCTGGAATTTAGGCGAAGAGAGGAGGGGCAAACAGCCATTTCAAAAATTACGCATTCAATCCGGAATGACACACATTTCGGATGATGCTTTGTGTGTACGTCTTGAGGTGAAATATAGCCATGAGACTTACTATGACTGATCCAGGTTTCTCTAGTGTGACAGTGGAGGTATATGACTCGTGTAACGGAGGAAAACCCACACTTAAGCGGACAACCATTGCACCTGAATTAGTTTTTCGAAGAACTTTGGACTCCGTGACCCACGGAACGAAATCTGCGTACTGACCCACGTCGGCGGCTATGTCATACATCTGGATCTGTGAGTACCTGAAAGCAAGAAAGTTTAACGTGAAAGAATAAAAACCGACAAAGGGATCACTCAATATTCCGTGAACTGAATCAGCAAACAAGCGCTAACTGCAGGATAGGGTAACAGGAAAGGAATTCATTAGAAATACGACGGCGCTGCGCACAGATCTCTCCCTGCTAAGCGACCCCCACCAGGCACAAGCGAAGTTAAGAAAACCGCAAGGATGTTTGCATAAACGCAGGGTAAGGAGCGAAGAATGTCGCTCCCGATTGATGCGCAAGTATCAAACCAAATGCCTTAAAAATACTGATTCAGCTCGATTGATCAATCACAGACTAATCACCGAATACAGATTGACTCATTAAAGTAGCAAATAATGTTCGAAAAAATGACCTGTAAAAAACTGATGAGACAACTTGTTATAAGGAGTAGGTGAAAAGTAAACCGGGTAGAAAAGAACCCATGAAAAAGAATTCTCGATGTTTAGGTCGGCACAAAAGATAATCAACGGCACGCTAGCTGCACCATCGAGCAGAGTAGATGGGGTTTTAGATGCAACAGCTCAGGCTTTCTCGCCTTATTTTCTCTGTTACGCTTCTTCATCCTTATCGTTCCGTACCAAAATGACTTGCAACCCCCAGTTTTCAACCTCACAATTCCCCGCCTTCCCCCAATTTGCTTCCGCTCACACGCAATCGCAGGGCGTTGATCCAGTCCGGCTGACAAGTCCATGTTCAGCCAAGCGGACAACATCAGTTCATCCGCTTCTTCTTGGAGCCATCGATCCTCGCTAAGACTATCACGCATCAGCGTGCGCACGTTGTTATAGACTGGCCAACAGGCAGTTTATCGGAAACCCGCCTGCAAGATTCGAGCTCTGTGCTTACCGTACGATCCCCCACATAGGACACTGGCGGCACATTCTCATTTCGTTTGTCGGGAGATGATGCAGCTTCAAATGTCGGTCAAGCTTGTGTGGATATTGTTTTGCTTGCTCGGGCTGAAGCTGTCCTGATCGACCGGATCAAAGTCAACGGCCGACTATGTGCCGTCAGAGTGACTGGTTCGTTTAAACCATCGAGATCGGGGGGGGGGGATTGTATCTATTTGTCATTACGGCTTACGTCTTATTAAATAAGTGTATTTGTTGACGAAACATCAGCAAACGAGGAGAGCCAAATCAGTACGTGAGAATCATATGGTGCCCAAGCAATAAATGCAGGCATGGCCTGGCCACGTAGTGTGATACAAATTACGAAAGTAACATAATGGTAGCAATAACTAAACAAGGATGTATGGGGTTAGGAAAACGCTAGTTTTCCAAAGCATTACAGTGGAATCAATAAAAAGGTGGATTTATTATTAGCCGTAGTTTTGATTTTTAACGGCGCGTGCACATCCGTTCCCCCTCAGACCAAGATCATGATTGGCGGCAGAGCTTTTTATAAAAGTTATTGGTGTAAAACATTTAACTGACATTTAGAATGTGTGCAGCAGCTTAATGCATTAACTTTCATTCGAGATAACGAGAACGCTTTGTGTTTTAATGAACGGATTCTGAAATTTTGTATATAAAGGATAAATTCCTGTAATTTCAAACTGCTAGCTGTGGGAGCGCAGCAAATAAGCTTAGTAAGTAACTTGTAGCCATATACACCCACATCTTTCACGTTTGCAGGAGTTCATTCAACAAAAAAGGTCCGTTTTTACCAATTTTCATCCATCGTAATGCATCGTTTATTTGCGTTCACACACCAATTTGTACTTTCGTATTTAAACGAATAATGAACAACTTTTAAGGTAGAAATTCTGCAAAGTAACATATTATAATAGTTTATGGCAGGAAATGGGGCACCAAACCTTTACGTTAAGAGAATTGTTCTTTTCTCATCTATCGTTTGTATTTGCATTTTCGGGCTACAAACTAGTGGAACGTTCCCTTGATTGGCCAACCTATCAAGGTCGTTAGTGGATCTATTCATAACCACGTATTTCACTGATGAATGCTTGATTTGTCATCAGAATAGATCTCGTGCGGAGGTCTTGTCTTCTGCCGTATTGGGGTTGGGTCGAGCGATTGGAAACTGAATATGTGTCCCGTCCGGGAGACGAGTAGTGCGTCTTTTGTGGGCTTACTGTGCTTTGCGTGTTTTCGTATTGAATTTGCGATAGTGACCGTTGGATCGTAACATATAATGATGTAGGACCCGGATCTGCGATGTGAAATGGAATGGCTGGAACCGAATACCGAGGGTTTCAAGCCGACGTCCAGATTCCTTTACGTTCGTGATGATAACACGTTATAAATAGATAAACAAATGTTTTATTCTCAATAAATCGAGGCACACCATGAGATGGGCAACATATTCCACTAATCTACTACCTTTTGTGATAATCGGATGTCAGTCTAACCCCATCCGACTGTGGAGATATGGTAACAAATCGGCTGGAAGAGTCAAAATAGATGGGAACCGATCTTCCGGCAGTATGCAATAGTATGGAACTCAGTTGCGGCGGTCCAACATCAAATACAGCGATAGGATAGGTTGCACAACATATGCCTTATTCCGATAGCAACTCTGACGCTGATCTCCCCTGATATTCTACCACAAACCAAGCACAGTGGGTAAGTTTGGACGCAATATGCCAGTTGCAGCACAATGAAGCCTGAGAACAAGCTGGAGTGATGATTCCGAATGGCATACGGATTATTCAACGCACTCAGAAGCTTGGCAGATGGCTTTACTGTGCTTAATGGAGTTGCAACAGGGTTCACTCTCGCCAAGCAGGTCGTGACATGCTGCAATACCAATGATTAGTATGGGGAGAGCGGACAGGTGTGATGCGATCAGTGAAAGCATTAAGCTAATGACAAAATGCAGATCATTCGTAGAAAAGGACCCACACAAACACCCACGGTCGTTGCCATTTTACATGCAAGTCTCGTCTAGCAGCCGCTTGTCAGCAAGTAGTACTTCCTTTTCTCGGACAAAGGAAGTTATTGCGGGTTACGTTATCGGATGGAGCACATAATTCCGCAGTCATGTCAGGTGTATCAGCTGCATGGAACATGAGAATTGGCAATTCACCTGCAGACGGAAACCAAGAGACAAGAGTAAGAGATGTTCAGTGCCGATGTAAGCGAAGAAGCGCACAGCCACTATCAATCTCCAGTCGCTTTAGTGAAGAAAGCCAACGGGATGTATCGATTATGCGTGGACTTCAGATGGTTGAATGAAATCTCGTTAATTTGCTTCGTCCCGGTGCCATCAGTTGCAGAGGTCCTTGAGCGACTGCAAGATATTTACGGTACTGAACTTGGGGTAGGAGCAATGACAGCTGGTAACCAAATGAGAAAACAGGAAGAAAACGGAATTTACAGTAGGCGAGATGCAGTACCAGTCTAAAAGAATGTCGTTTAGCTTGTCTAATGACTTGTTAATCTCCCGGCGTTTTATGTCGCGCCTATTAGATGGGTCAGAGTGGGTGTACAAAGACGATATGGGAGTACTAAACACATGCTGAGCAATGCAAGAATATGGACGTAACATTACAACGAATTTGCAGTCAGGATTACAGATAAATGAGCCTAAATCTCAGATCGATTAAAATTTCGTGACACTGCTTGATCATAGATAGAGTGAGTAGTGGTGAGATCAAGATGCTGCCGGAAAAATTAGTGATAATTCCAAGCATTTAAGTTACGACCACAAAACGCACCAGTCATCATCATTACACGACAGCTACATGTGAAAAAGCGAGATAGAAACACTATAGAATACAAAATTAAACAAATATATATAAGGCTTATTATCATATTACGCTTCGGGTTAGGTAGTCGTATGAAGAGAAAAATAAGCGCGAGGGAGAGGGGGCAAAGAAGCTCACAACGCTAACGTTATCGAGGTCGGCTCTCCGACATTTCAAAAAGTGCATCTGATCAAACGTGTTCATCGTCTTTCGGACCCCAACCTGGCAGTTGGGAGACATCAACCGAAGTCAAGTTCGAAGTGAGGGTCTTCATCCCTCTTGACCAAGTTACTACTAGATCTCCTTTCTTCTGATTCCATCCAGACTAGGGGCACACAAATAACGCACCTCCCGGGAGTTGGTGTGATGGCATGCGCAACACGTGACCAAGTCATCGATGTCTGGTGCGTGATATAACCGTGCTCAGCAGTTCACTCGCTCTTCCTGCACCAAATACACGACGCCGAACACGCTCATTGCTCAAATGGAGTTCCCACCAGACATGAGCTAAGCTGCAAGGCAGCGATGGTCGAGCGTAGCCAGACTCTTTATGTCTGCTTACTTGATGGCTAGATTTCGCAATCGCACAGAAGGGTTGAACGGATGGCTGCATTGAAACTCTGCACATCAGAGACATAGTGGTGTCGAGTCTGCAGCAGAGACAAAAGCGCCTCGAATTTGTCCTATAGGATTCGTGATCTCATCTTGGATCCCACGGACGCTACTATAGCTGATGGGCGATGTTACGGAGAGAGCTAGCAGTCAAGCCGAGAAAGTGCATCGATCTGCAATTAGAGATCGAACTCCACTATAGATCAAAATGCGATTTGATGCGGAATCAGAGGCAAGTTGAATCACGAACTTGAACCATTTGAGTTGTGTTAATTAACGCCAATTTGCATCTCCAATATTGTTGTTTAAGTAGTTGCTCACAACCTATTTATTGGGCCGTGTTCTCATACAATAAGCCTCTCTGTCTACCGAACCTTGGTCTTCCGCACTCCTTTGGTGGGCTGGACGCGTGACTGAGCAGTCAGACAGTGCAGTCTCAAGGGGCAGCTAGCAGCAGTAGCACAGTCGTCAGTGGCATAGAGTAGAGGTAAAGAAGGAAGCATTTTACAACAGTGGCGGCGGTGTTGAACAATCATGACCATTTCATTCGAGCAGATGCGGTCCCTACTTCAGCAGCGGTAGCTTCAGTTTGAAAAATCACAGCGGCAGTTAATTCAGTTGTTATCAGAAAAACTCAACATCCAAGTGGAATGGGAACCGGAACCGTGGTTAACATCCCAGGAAATTGTATCTGAATACCACAAGCTGCTCAGTTTGAATTATGACCCAGAAATGATTGCAACTTCAGATCACAGAAAAGAACCCCAACCTTGTCATACAGTCATTTGTGGCCAAAATGTGAGTGGAAATGTGCCGAACCGGAAGCCCCCGACTGCATTATGGAACGATGATGGGAGACATTCTATGAAAAATTGCGCCCACAAAAATCATCATTGGCAAAAGGAGCACCAATTCAGATGCGCGTATACTCCAAGGTTACAGGCGAGTTCCAAATTCAAAAGAAACTGGTATCGCGGCACAGTGAGAGAGACGGCTTTTGCAGTGTTTCGTACACACTTTTCAGGGAAGAGGAAATACCCCACAGTGAAACGCAAGAATGTCCCCATATCGCTGCTGCCAGAAACGTTGCATGCTCTCAAGAGCCTTTGTCGTAGAACCCGGGCAAGACTTGGCACATGGTCAGTCAAACCTACAATACTAACGGTTCAAAAGGTTTCAGAGGAACCTCTGCAGCTGAAAGGAAGAATCGCCTGTGAACGCAGACTCAATGATTTGCTACACTATGGAAAAATCTACCCAGTATACTGTACCAATGTTAGGCTGCACGGAACCAACCGGATTACGAAGTTAAATTTGCTCAAAGAGTCAATGACTCATGTGAGTTCGGTAACGACTGTTACTCTCTGCAATATTGGTCGTACCTGTTCCAAATTCTTATGTCTTCACCAGCTACCAGTACGGGCGACACTGAGGTCTTGGCCGAAGACCGAACCCCCATGGTCGCAGATTCAAGTGGACCTAGGCGGATTCCCACGTCGGAAGAGCTGTGGCCTCCAGGTAACCCAAATTTTAAGAGAGGGAGGTGTTACGGAGAGAGCTAGCAATCAAGCCGAGAAAGTGCATCGATCTGCAATTAGACATCGAACTCGACTATAGATCGAAATGCCAATTTAATGCGGAATCAGAGGCATGTTGAATCACGAAATTGAACCATTTGAGTTGTGTTAATTAACGCCAATTAGCATCTCCAATATTGTTGTTTAAGTAGTTGCTCACAACCTATTTATTGGGCCGTGCTCTCATACAATAAGCCTCTCTGTCTACCGAACCTTGGTCTTCTGCATTCCGTTGGTGGGCTGGGCGCGTGACTGAGCAGTCAGACAGTCGCAGTCTCAAGGGGCAGCTAGCAGCAGTACAACAGTCGTCAGAGGCAGAGAGTAGAGGTCAGTAGATGCATTACAACAGGCGACTTCTAGCTGAACACCGAAAAGGGTCAGCGCAGGAGTGGGTCCCTGCCAATCTCGGAGGAATTTGTATTTTGACGGTATACCCGAAACAAATGACAGCCAAGGTTCATCTGTATAGTGCTGCTTGGCACGTATGGGAGCTAGTACAGATTAGGGCAACGAAGTCAGAATACTCCAAATCCGGCTCTATCACCAGGAAGCAGCTCTACACCTTGTAAGTCGTGTCCAGCGAAGGCTGTTCCCATGACTTCGTCAATGGCAAAGTTAAGTAGAAAAGGTGACGACAGACGAAAGCAATGGACAATTGAGATCAAAGTGTTCCCGAACGTCAGCCACTCTTGAAAAGTGAGACTATAACGGAGCGGCTACAGTACCTTCGGACAGTTTCCTGCTCCCACGGCTTCTCTAATATGATGTGGAAATAATCCACCAGAGCTGGCAACTCGAATTTGAAAAGAGCAGGAGGAAGTTCATTTGCTCATACGATCTTATGCAATTTCGGAAGTCTGACTTCACGGTCAGCTTTTGCGCGTGAGGACTGATGCAAGGGGACAGCCCATAGACAAGTGTATTGAATACCCGAGAATGAAGATAATAACTCAGGTTGATTGAGCAGCTTTTCAAGAGTTTTGATAAGTTGTGGATGGGTCGTCCACTGTCGCCGCATTTGGTCTCGATAACACCAAGTCTCCTGCTGCCCGTTTCTCGTATCAGACGGAATAACTTCCGGTAGTTACCAAAGGCAGCAACTATTTCAATCCCAGATGCACGATGAGACCGCTAGGATACGCGGTTTCTATTCGGGCTACTACTCAGTTTTGTCCAGAGATCTTAGCGAGTTTCATTGTGTTCGCATTCAGTCGAAACAGGTCAGTGAAAATCCAGAAGTTTCAGTGACTGCGTAGAGAACAATGTCCACGTTGGTAATTTAAATTGCCAAATGAA